CGGATAAAGCGGATGAAGATGGATGGATGGATGGATGGTATTGTTCATGCTGGTTCACTGTCATGGCTTACTGGGACGTTTGTTGGAAATGAGCCATCGCTACCAAATCTGTTCCTGCTATGACAGTCAAAAAGTCTGCTGTGTACTGAAAAGGCTTCAATTAAAATATGGTGATGTGGTCATGTTTTCGCACATGCTGCAATTATGATTAATGATGGAGAAGTATACGTGCAGCGTATTTCATAATGTAACAGCACATATGCAGCATCACAATCAACAGATGTCCATGGGCAATGTTTCTGGGCTAAATCTGGCTGAGTGAGAAAAGTCTTTTGTTTTCACACTGGTATAAAATATCTTTTTCAATTCTCTCTCAAACATTTGAAGAGGCTGAGTGTTGGAGAGCTTAATCATGCAGGAGGGGCTAAGTGTACAACAATAGGCGCTTTGGGCATTTGACGCCTCCAAAATGTCAGGTTTTGGGTATGTTATAGATGGAAGGATGTGCTGCAGATATTACATCTCTAGGCTTGGGAACACCTCAGTATCCCAACAGAAGGAGGAAGTGACTGCTGCCTCTGACACCTGGACTTAGATAAGCAACAGAAAATGGATAAATACCAATTTATGATTTCTGCTGTTTTGTGCAAAACATGCCTAAATGGTACACAGCCATTATCAGATCAGTTGGGTGTGTTGTGGCCTGCTAATAGTACTGATTTCTGGCTAGTTATTACTGATACTCATGTTTTCTAGTTCTGACTTCATATATTGGCACTAATCATTCTTGTACTTCCTTTCAGTTTGGTAATATTATTACATTTTCATTTCTGTCTTGAGTTTATCATTCCAGTCTCCCCAGTGTCAGTTTGTATTGTGTTCAGTTTGAGTTTTCTTGTCTCTGTATTTCGTCTGCTGGTCTTATTTTCTGTTTTACTCGGGTTAATCAGTTCCCATCCCTGTGACTGTCTTGAATGTTCTCATTTCCTCCCCAGCTGTCTCTGCTTGCCTAATCTACCCTTTGTGTATAAATAGTCCTTTCTTATTCTTGGTCACTAGTGTGCCATGTCTGTGCTTCTTGTGGGTAGCTGGAATTAGTTTTTGTTTTTTTTCATCAGCATAAAAAAAAAATATGATTCATTTTTCTGTCTTTTTCCTTTTTTTAAAACCTGTTTTAGTTTCCAAGTCTCTGTGCTCTTCACTCCGAAGGAGGCTTTATTATTCTCAAGGCAAAATTTCACTTGGAGTCAGTGTAGCTGTGGGTGATCTAGACATCCAAGACAAACACAGCCATTGTTCTCAAAATTATTGTTATTATTTTAGAATATTGACATTTTAATCACTGTAATGTGAAAGATTCTTTTTTTAAACTTTCCAGTTTCAACAAAATGTATGAATTGAATGTTTGAATGTCTGTCAAAGTTTTCATTTTATGGGCAAGTTTATGATTGGTGGGAGGAATGCTGTGCATGAGTATCATGTCGTATAAGTGACTACCTTACTTGATGATGACTGATGATTACTATAACTAAAGTAATCCATTGCATTACAGTTTTACCAGTGGACAAAAGTAACGTGGTAGAGTTTGTTTGCAAAGAAACAAACACTCTGCTTTTACCTTCTTGCACATGTTGGTTGGATATGCAGCTGGAGCAGCTGGATAGTGTAGTGGTAAGACTACACACCTTTGGAGCGGGAGTTGCAAGTTGCAAGTGATTCCCACCCGGTATCCAGTAAGAGTCCTAGCTAGGATTGCTAGCTAGCTAGGATTGTGTGTGTGACAAATTTGTTGGTTATATTTCATTAGTCCTATTTACTTCCTGAGTTTATTTACCTTTTGTTGCGACACAGTTTCCTGATACCGAGTCTCTGCAGGTACAGTCATCTCCAGTAATGTGTGTTAGAGTGACAGCTTTAGCTTAAATCTAGCTTTGTGCCATTTCTGAGCTGTAGCGTTGGCATCTTTGTCCCTCTCAACACAGCTCACAGTTGCTTCTTCAAAATGCTAAGAAGATCGTCTTAGCTGCAACAGAAAGTTAATATCACCCAACAGGGGATTGGATTGGCTGATTCCATTATTCAGCTGCATGTCAAATAGTTGCAGGAGACAGAAACCTTAAAGGTGTCAGAGACTGAAAAAGAAGCTAAAAGCTGTTTACTGAGTGCTAAACTTACAAAGTATGATAAAGTTTCTTTGAGTAAAAAAGTAATCTGAGTAGAGCAGCACTTGTATCGAGTTCTGTTTGTTCTGTATTCCTTACATGTCTCAGGGAGTGTGTACAACAAGTACAAAGTGAGTGCAGCACATTCACTTTTTTTGGGATAGAGAGGGGTAAGAGGCACAAGGCTCCTCCCTGAGAGTTTGTGAAAACATTCCAGCAAAGTGAGAGCGGTCAAATAATCGGAAACTCTCCGAGTGGCCTCTTACTCTTTCTATGCCTCTCACCTTTTTGCATGTGCAGCTGAAACGCATTCTTCTACTGCACGCCACATATGAGCGTTGATGGGTTGTTTGACACTGAGGACAACTCTGCAGAGGCAAACATCACCCCAAAGAATCCTCTAAAACTTGGAGAAAGAAAGAAACTCAGCTGTTCCATTGATCGGCTTACAATGAAGCTGCTGTTTGCCCTCCTCATTTCCACTGCCTGGACTTTCACTGGTGCCCAGTATTACTACCAGGGGCTGATGGATTATCTGGAGAACAGATTGTTGGCTATTGAGGTAAGAATCGACTCTCCTTTAAGTGACTTGTGCTTTAAATGGCAGCTCAGATCTCTGTGTAGTCATAAAAACATCATAAACAACAGTTGACTGCCTCCTCCTCTTCTTTTGATTTGAATTTAATGCCTTTCCTAATGCAAAGCAATTAATGCGATGTCTGCCCAGCTCATCAGCTCTACAGCAGCCTCCGGGGGGGAACATCATTTGATGCATGCAGCCCTCTCCTTCTCTGTCCAACAATATTATATTTTCTTCAGGGCTTAAGACAGTGACACACCAGTAATGAGTACAAGCCCAACCTTTGTGGCTGTGGCATCAAACATCCCAACAGCCTAACCGAGAAATGTGTTCTTCAGAGGTAGAATGAAGCTGCAGTAAACAAAGAGCCTCGAGGAAAGAATCGAATTACCGAGTGTTCAATATTGTTTTTCTTTAAAGTGGCTCTCATGAGGCTACATGTTATATCAATGCCATGAAAGTTTGTGCAAGTCAAACACTTATCAACATAAGTGTTTGACTTGCACAAAGGAGGATTAAATGTCTGCTTGAGGATTAAATGTCTGCTCACCTAAGGGAGTAATTTAAATAATTCCTTTATTCTTTCGGTTTACATTTACAGAGTCAAACTGTGTGGCTCCGTTGCAACGATGCCATCCTTAAAACTGTTATAAGCGTGAAATAAATAAATTTAAAGTTAAATCCCACTCACTTCCCCCCTGCGTTTTTTTTCCTCCAGTCTCAATTCCAATATACTGGCTCAACCTTTGCATTGATATGAACACGGCAATTCATCAGCAAGCTTTCATTGAACTTTCATTTCCATTTGTCCACAGGCTCACAGCATGTAAAGGAGGAAGGAGGCAGGGGAGCCATCAGTTATTACATCTCAGTCTAAATAATTCACCTGTCACTCTCACTGTGTCAGTCATGTGCTGAGAAATACAGTGCTTCTTTCTATTTAGTTTAGGCGATAATTGATTGATTGAAACAGGGAAATCTTACCCTCCCACAGTGTTTATAGTTGGAAACACGACTGAGTCTTGGGCTGTAAATGCATTATCCTTACCAATGTGAAAAATACTAATATACTAGTTTCTAAAGTTTACTTGCTTACATTCTAGTGAATGTAGGTCAATTTGATCTTGACCTACATTCACCAGCCACTTTTTTAGTCCTCCACAGCCGCTACAAAATGCCTTGTGTAGATGAGTCAGTGAAACAGACTGATCAGCCATCTATCCTCTTATCTATCCTCATACATCCTCTATATTACACAAGGGCGTAACCATCGCTATCCTTGCATCTGTCCATTACCAGCCATTTCCCACTCAAGTTTCTGTGTTTCTCTTCCTTCTGTCCAGATGCTGCTTTCTGCACCATCGTTTCATCGTCCAGCTCATAAACACACCACACTGTGTTTATGAGCTGAAAGAAACAATTTCCTTGTTACTGAAACCAATTCTAAAGGGCGATTTCACTAACTCGTCTACACAAGGCATTTTATGGAGGGTATAGCAGGTATGCCT